CTGCCAGGCCTCAGACGATACTGGCCATGGAGTCCACTTCGAAGGCAGACTTTTTAGCTTATGACATTTCTCACAATTGTTTGCTGTACGACATATATCTGCATTTATCTCTGGCCACCAACATGTGAGTCTTGCTAAGGATTTCATTTTCTCAACACCAAGATGTCCACTATGAAGATCATCAAGGACAGGTTTGCGTAATGAAGGAGGAATAACAACACGATCATTTAAACACAAAATACCGTCAGGAGTAGTAGATAACTCGTCCCGCTTTGAATAATAGACAGGAAATCTACGTTTCAGATTAGCATTCCAACCCTTCCGTATAGCACTGAGTATACATCCAAAGTATCTACGAGTTTCTCTAATGAGATCTGGACGTCTCACCGGTAAAGGTTGCACTAACAAGCAGTCTGAAGTATTAACAGGTCTATCTTGTAATGGTTGTCAAGAAATGTAGTCAACGTGTTGAATTTGTTTTGCACTCCTGTGCTGAATCGTATAGTCATAAGCACTCAAAGCAATACTCCATCGTTGAACCATAGCAGCTGAGGAACGTGCTAAGGATTTGTTAGGATGATAAATGAACTTTAAGGCTTCATGATCAGTAACAATGGTAAACTTCTTTCCAAATAAATATTTATGAAGTCTTTTAACAGCCCAAAACACAGCTAACGCTTCTCGCTGCGTTTGTGAATAACCTTGTTCAGCAACAGAAAGTTTGCGTGAAACACATATAACTGGCCTACCTTCCTGTTCCAAAACTGCACCAATACCTACAGGTGACGCATCAGTAATAAGAACAGAATGTACACTGGGTGAGTAAGTTCGAAGGACAGCATCACTTTGAAGAAACTTTAGCAGACTTCGTAGGCATGACTCTTGTTCTTCACCCCATTTGAATGAATTGGATGTCAAAATATTAAATAAACAATTGGCACGACAAGAAAAATTAGGAATAAAACGAGAATAGTACTGAAGAGCACCCACTAGTGAACGTAATTCTGTGATGTTTTTTGGAGACGGTGCATTTGTCAGTGGAGCTAGTCGTTTCATATCTGGTCTAAAACCATTACCATCAACTAGGTATCCAAGGCATTCAAAACTAGATACACTAAATGAACACTTATTTGGATTCACTGTAATATTCTTCTCAATTAAACGACGCAATAAAGCAATAAGTCTCTGGTCATGGACTACTTTATCAGCACCATGAACAATGAGATCATCTTGATAAACTTCAACACCTTCAATATCGCTGACTATCTTATTCATGACCTCTTGAAATATGGCTGGAGAACAACTAAGACCAAATGGAAGGAAGTTGTATTTGAACAGACCAAAAGGAGTGTTAATTGTTGTCAAGATAGATGAAGATTGGTCTAAAGGGATTTGAAGATAAGCATCTTTCAAGTCAACTTTCGAGAACACTTTAGAACCATGAAGCCGATTTAGAATATCTTCAGCCTCCATCGTCGTGCATGTTTGCTTCAACAAACGGGAGTTCAGTGTCAATCTGTAATCACCGCATATTCTAGGGGTCTTGCCATCCGATTTCAATGGCGTAACAATAGGAGTACCCCATGCTGAGGACTGAACTGGTTCAATTATACCTTTCGCACACAAATCATTCAGTGACTTATGTACTGCTTCTCGAAGACCATAAGGAATTATTCGTCTTTTAAGAAAGACCGGATCACCCTGTACTTGAAGTTTAATGGGCTGAATTTTCATACCTCCACTACACTTAGCACACACAGCTATCAAATCCTTGAGTAAAGCATCAGAATTCTCTGTAGAAACTAGTAGAGACAATTCCACTTTAAGCCTTTTCAGATTTTTTAAACCCAGTATGGACAGTCCTGTTTCACTAACTAAAAATTCACAAGGTACGTATGAAGAATTATCATCTCTTATTAGCAATTTACAACATCCTCGTATAGGTAGTCTGTGTCCAGTAATCCCCAGTATTGAGACCTCAGTGGGTTTTACCACAACATTAGGATCTAAAGATTTCAAGTTCTTGAATGAAATAATGGACTCTATACTACCTGTGTCCACAATAAAGTCATGAAATGAACCAAGGGATGTATATAATCGCTTTTGAATATGAACATTCCCTTTTGAAGTAGTGGATAAAGATAAATGATCATCAAGAACAGCCGAATTATTGGGATCTAAGTTACCAGACTTAGTAATACTTGAAGCAAAGTGAACAGTAGTTTTGCACACTGACTGAATGTGTCCTATCTTGCCACATTTAAAACATTTAGCATTACGAAATGTACATGAATTACGAAAATGAAATTTGCCACAAGATAAGCATTTACCAAACTTATTCTCACCTTTGTTGTTTGCTTTGCAGTTCCTTGTTAAACCACCTTTCATATTTCCACGGGAATAGCAATCACGATTAAACGAACGCAAATTTGATCGACCCTGAGATTGTAATTCATCATGACGACTAAGCAAAGTATTAGAAATTTTCATCGATTGAATATCAAGTTCATTCACTGCTTCGTAGTTAATACATGCAGTTCTAGCATCTTGAAAAGAACAGTTCGGCATTCTTAACAGCTCCTTTTCCAGACCTGGTATGTTAATTCCAGCAATTAACCGATCTCTCAACTGTACATGAAGCTGATCACCAAAATTGCATTTGGCAGCTTGTCTTTGCAATTCAAGGATGAAGTCTTTAACCTTCTGGTTATCCTGACGAATCATCTTATGAAATTTTGCTCTCTCAAGACACTCAAAACTGGTGCACTTCACATGGTTTAATAGTAATTCCTTGAGAGTTGTATATGGGAGTGAAATCGGCTTATCTGGATATGCCAAGGTTTTTAATAAACTGTAGGCTTCTTGACCGATGAATGTAAGAAAATGTGCCACAATTTTGTCACCCTTCATATCTTTCTTGGTCATGCTCCATATCTCAAACCTTTCAAGGTAATCCTCACAAGCTTCAGAAGTTGAATGAATGTCCAACTGTTGTATCGCAGGCTCCATCGCGACGCCAATATGATAATTAGAAGTATTTGAATTGTAGTATGAACTAGTAATCCCAGGAATAACGCAATTTAATCAAGAAGTACCAGATGAACTCGAACGAATGTATTGTATTTGGAATTCAAAATTACAACAGTCATCAATACGAAGAAGTCATTGATTTATTTAAACATCACAGGAGGACTAGCTTGTCTATAATAGCATTATGTCATTTCTCAATCTCTACCTGTACCCATCCATCGACTTTCGTTGGAGTAGCAACCACATTCGTGTAACACCGATTGTAGGATCTCAGATGATTGCCAACAATTTCAGGGGTCAGAATTTTGTTTTTTCTGCTAAAAACATACCTAACCCTACGATTAGGTTTTCTAGGCGTTTCCTACTGGCTGTCATTTGAAAGACGGAGTCCACAGGACACTTCCTTTCATGCGCTTTTATTTCGGACAGACTTCTTTTAAGTCGGTCCTTCCTCCTTTGACCCATGTAAGCCAATCAATAATGAGCTTATCTGGGGGGACTCCACATCAGCCGAACTGTTTTTAAGCGTTTAATCACATGAACAAATCCTTTTTATTTTGTGAGCATATGTAAAAGGAAAGATTCATTAATTAGTTTGACAGAAACTGGTAGTACAACTGCTATCAGAATAAAATAAAATTTCATATTTACAGAATAGGTAATTCTCATAACTCCCCTCTTCTTGTAGTTTATGCTGATGACGATGAAATCCTGATGATTACATTACCCATTTTAGAGAATGTTACTTCTACTAGAAAGTTTTTATGCTCTAGGCCAATCAGACATAAAAGAACTCAAAAGTAATGGTTGCTGATGAGCACAGCTCACAAACGTCAATGACTGACTTTACTTCCTAAAGAAAATAGATACAGGTTATTGACTGAAAATGTGGCTTTGTTTTCAATCAGATGAGTATGTATATTGATGAGTGAGTTGTCACACATATTCGATTCGGTTGGCCAATAAAAGGTTACCTCTTTTTGTTCAAGACATTCCCAACTGTGACTAGCTACATGGTCTCATGGTTTATTATCTTAACTTTAATGCTTTACTGACTAATTTCTATGGTATTTTTAAATCACTTTATCTTACTATTATTTAAACAAAAAATAAGCACTATGAGCAAAAATGGATAGTGGCTAGCAGTGGAATCCAGGACGTGCGTTTCATCCTATTTGGGACTCGTCAGCTAGATGTACCTGCATCACAGAGTTGATGTTCACTCTGGGGCTCGAACCCAGTACCTTCCGCTTCAAACGCCATTACGTCACCCACTTAGCTCATAAAGCTTGTGACTTCAGGCAATATCGTGGCACTCCGCACAGGATGCACATATGCCGACAAGAGACTGATCAATTGCAGTCCTAAATAACAATGAGAAGATACAAGTAAACATCATCAAGTGAATTTAAAAAATAAGCAGTTCATCCATGATCACTTTTTGTACCCTAAATTGATCTACTCCTTTCTATTTTGATTTTCGAGTAACTTTTTTCGGATTTTTTGTAACAAATATATATTCAATCAAAAATACAACTAATTATTAGATCAAAAGGGGTTTTTGTGAATATTTCAATATTTTCATAGTTGAAATCATGAGTCCATTGAAGCTAGACCACCATGAAAAACCTGGAAGCACTGAACAACCGTCTCGTCTTATTGTGGGAATCCTCAGCAGTGTGCATCCACGATCCCGCACCCGCGAGATTCGGTTAAGTTCCCTGGCGCAAAGCTGGTAGGTCCTGGGTTCGAATCTCGCGGGTGCGGGATCGTGGATGCGCACTGCTAAGGAGTCCCATAATAGGACGAAACGGCCGTCCAGCGCTTCCAGGTTTTCGATGGCAGTCTAGCTTCAATAGACTCATGATTTCAAATATGAAAACTAATTAATAAACAATATTGAAGACAATAACACAATAAGAGAATTTATTTACATATCATATATAGATTGAATATTACAATACTATTTTTTAATAATGCTTCAAATGATGCTGGCAATACTGATTTACTGTTGACTGAGATGTTCTCTGATGTTGACAATTAATTATTGTTGGTTCAAAATGAGTTTTTAATTGATTAGATAATTCACTTGGAGAATGATTATTATAATTTAATAGTTGTTTATAATTAGTTCCATCTCTCATATACATATTCATATGATTTATATCAGTTATATTGGAATCAATAAAATGATCCATATTATCTTCAGGAAATTGATGATCAGAAGATAATAAAGATGATAAATTATTAGATGAACAAGTATAAGGTGGAAAATTGGAAGTTTTAAAAACTGGATAATCTTTTTTATTGAATAATTCATCATTCGATGTAAGTGAATTTGACCAGTCTTTTATAGGACTATTATTCATAATTATTTGTTTGGTATTATGATTATTTAATTGATGTTTATTAATACTACTTTTAAATACTTCTGAATCTATTGGATTACTGATATTGTTTATAGTATTATAATTAGTTGAATCGATAAAAGTTGGTATATTAACTGGAGAAGATATAGTAGATAGGTGGTTGTTTATTGAATTATCTGAATAAGTAGCTGATTTTAATTGTATTGTTTGATAATAATTGAATGGTTCTTGTTGATTCGTGTTCATTGAATGATGAGGATACCAAAAGTGAGAATTTTCATAATATGGATGATAAAAACTAAAAATGAGTAAATAAATAAAGTAGACATTAAGTAAGAGCAAGAATACTTTTGAAATATTTAACAGAATTGTCTAAAAACGTTTAATTAAAGAAGATACCGAAATAACAGATCATTTAGGTTCAACTTTAATATTATCTGTCTCTTTAACTATATGGATGAAATGAACTTATCTAAGTCATAACTGTATATCATGAAAGTAATTCATTATTGACAAATTAAACTGACAAAAAAATAATGAGTAATATAACAGAAGTTGTTAATTTTGATCGAAACAGTTGATAAGACAATTAAGTAATGAGATGACATTCTGAAATCAAAAAAACATGAAATTTGTCTGAAATATGGAACTGTTGTTTGTGAAAATCGAAGCAAGGGATTTATAAGCCTCAATTTTTGAGGTATATAAATCGTTTACCATTACAATTTACTATCATACAATGAGTAATTTATGATAATAGTTGTATTGGAATTGTTACAAAGCACATAATAAACTACATAACAATTAATAGCTTTGTGAAGATCTGATTTTAAAGGCCATTTTCATACTCATAAAGTAGAACAAAGAATGGTATACCCGCCTTTTAGCTGAATAAAATAAGTCTCGCCTGAGCCACAAAAGATATAGGTTGATAAAAGTCAGCCGTAATTTCTGAATTTGTATCGAGATTTTGTCCTTCATTAATCCCCAAGAATGATGAAATTTCTAAGATAAGTGAACATGTTGATGCTCCTAATTATTTCACTTCCTATCATTGGTTTTGATCTCGACTTGGACTAATCCTGAAGCAACATTGTACATTTAAAGGAAATGAAACATATCGGAAACAAATTGATGTTGTTTCTGAAGGCCATTAGGTTTGCTAAAATAGAATAACTCAACAGTACACACTAGCCACCTTATATAAAATATAACTCATGACCTTAACATTTCTCTGTGAGCATGATGTCATTCAAACAGTCCGATTTTATTCAACAGTTTAAATATTTTTTTTCAAATGGTACATTAGAGAAGTGGATGAGGAAAAAGGAGAGACTTACTCATATTTTCCTTTTTCAATACATTCTTTTTTCTGTTTCATTCGTCTATTTTGAAACCAAATTTTAATTTGGCGTTCAGTTAAACCAAGTTGTTCAGCTAATTCTAATCGTCTTGGTTGCCCTAAATAATTGGAATAGTGAAATTCTTTTTCTAATTCAATTAATTGTAAATTTGTATAAGCTGATCTAGGTCGTTTATTTGTTGAAGTAACAACCACTGCCACAGATGATGATGACAATGATGATGATGATGACGTTGTTGTTAATGATGTAGTACAAGTTATTGGTTCTTTAGATGAAAATTCCACCTTCTTTGTAGTAGTCACGAAATTATTAATTTGTTCATTCCCGATTATTAATTGATTATTTAACGGTGATATGTTATTGTCAACATTTAAACCAGAATCATCATTGTTATCAACATGTTCAATAGACTTTTGATATATTGGAGATTTTAAATGTCCTTAAGAGAATCGAAAATAAATATGGTTCAATGCATATAAATATAAACGTACTTAAATATTATTTAAAAATGAAGTTTAAACTGATATTCGATAAGTTTATGATTCACTCTACTTTGAAGATTTGTGAGTTTACTTGGTTGAACGAGTTTAGTTGGAAAACCGTTGAAAGGCAGGAATCGTTAAACAGCTTTTCATATGGATACTCACAAACTTATCAAGGATGAATCCCTAAAGTTCTGGTGAGAAATCGTGACCGACAGATTTCAGACATGACAGTAGTAAAACAGTTGTCACCAATGGCATGAGATAATCGATCAGCTACACAATAAATTAATTGAACTCTTAGACGCCAACCAAGTGGTTTAAAGGTTAAGTTGTCATCACGAGATTTGAAGATCCCGCGCTTTATGTTTATAAGAGTGATAAGTTTGATAATGAGGAGTCGACAAGGTTGTCCATTCCTCCTTGGTTATAGGTTATTTTATCTATATTTTCTGGTTACCGTTTTCTTAGCGAGTTAGTTTTCTACCAGATGGAATCGCTAACTCCATGCCCGACTCTCCTCCTTTATCCGGGCTTAGGACCGGCAGTAGCCCCCGGGAGGGTCTACAGGCGGATTTCCTTGGTTGTAGATGGTATCCAAAATAGAATGCGTCTATTGTGAACATCACGCTGTTAAGTATTATTTATTCAACTACATAGTTAGTAAAATCGATCATGATAAAAAAAAACATGATTTTGTTCTTATCTTCCTGTGAAAAAAATAATAGAAGTTATTGAACGTTTTTATAAAGAGATTTAATCAGTAAGCAATTGTCATTCACGTTAAAACGAAATAATTGAATAAAATGCAATTAACAGTTCTAGTCATGGATCATCTTCAGCTTGTGCACCATTGAGAACCAAGGAACACAATAAACTTTTCGTCGTACGGTTAAAACTCTACAACAGTACGTATTAGCGGAGCGGGATAAACTTATCCTTTTTGACTACAGCTAAAAAATACCGGAGTAAGATGAAACAATCATATGACTTTCAACGATCCATCAATTAAAATGACTTTAGAATGAAAACTGACTGCAAATTAGGCTTATCTCCATAATGAGTTATATTATACCGTATATATATAATGTATATATGGTATATATATATATGTATGGTATGTTTTTATACTTATAAAAACACAAAGTGACAATTATAGTTTGATTTTGAAGTGGTACCAATGAAAACCAGTGAGGAGAGAATATATTTCTCGTCTCAGTGAAATATATATATATATATATATATACTTATCGCTTACAACACCTTAGAACAAATCACAATTTATATGACAGTTTAACGGATGAGCTAATTTGGAGTGAAATGAATTTATTCAATTTAATTAATCAAAAATAATTCATATAACCACTGTCCCAATGAATTGACCAGTTAGTTATATTGTAATTACTTATTTGTTTGTTTTTTCAAAGAAATTTCAATCACTTTTCTAGAATTCAATAATAGTTTTACACATTTATATTATTCGGTTATTCGAACCACTTTTCTTACATCATTTTTCTTTTCACACACTTGACTTTGCACACTTAGAATCATTTCCCAACCCTATATCTCCCCCCCATGTTCCCTACATTTTGAGTCACCATTCCTGTCCCCCGGTCCCGCCTACTGAACATCAAGTGCACTCCCTCCTCATGTATTGTCATCATTAACATCGTCATTTTATTTTATGAAAATTAATTCATCAATAAACCAATTGAAATTGTTTCTGTTTTACTCTACTTTTTTATTTTGACAGTTTAAAATATTTCGGAAAATAAGTTAAAATTTGATCACAGTAAAACTATGAAAATATTTTTATAAAATTTTCATTATATCACTTTCTAAATTTTAGGTCTTACTTCAATATCCTCTTTCTGGCCATTTTGATTAGATTGCATACATACACACACACATACACAAACATACTCATATATAACGATACATACAAACCATCAGTTTTTCTGTAGATTATACAAAGTGACAGATTTTGTTGTTCTATATAGAACAACTAACCCATTACTATCCATTTCAAACATTTTCTGCTTTAGGCAATTTGAATATTATAAGTATACTCATAGACATTTGGACCCATATTCAAGGTAATCTTTATCACTACATAGTAAATGTATATAACAAATGAAGGGTAATATACTTATAGAAAATTAAATAGGCTGTGGTAACTTGTATCCGTCAGTATTTGAAGTAATAAGTAATCATTTTATATACATATGAACTTGCTTTGGGGTGTATATATATATGTATATATATATATATATATATATCCAAATGCTTGTTCATCTGTGGGTGTGCATATATCAGCTTGAACAAAGAAGGCAAGCAAAATCATCTCATTTAATAAACCCTATAATTATCTACACTTGACTGCAAATTTATAAATGATGATAACTATTTGAAATAACGGACATTGATACTTGTACTGATTATCATAATTTAATCGAAAAAAAAATGAATTTTTTACAACAACAATCAAAAAATAATCAACTGTAACAAACATTTAAATTGAATGAAAGAGAGAGAAAGAAAGGGCTTATCATTTAAATATATCTTCTCAGGAGTTATATAACAGTGACCCATATATATATACTCCATTCTTCATGATGTACATGGAGATAAAAACTTTTTCTTTTAAAAAGACATTTATGAAAATCAATAATTCATATAAATTTACAAAAATATAATTTGGATATATCTGATCTCAAGTTAACTTATCAGGTTTCCCCAATTCCTCATCACACAAGATAACGTTTATCATTTACTTGTTACAGTCCGGCATGTTTTTCAGTATTATGACTTCCTGAACATTGAATTGAGATAAACAAATAAGCTTTGAACTTTTAGGTATTCATACTATTTAGTATATATTTATTAACACCAGTTTGTTTTATTTTTAAATCCCTTTTTCAGTTAACCAATCTCACTGGAATTGTTTTCAGATACATTTTATTAGGATTTCTCCTATTATATATTTAGTCTGGATAATTGTTTCGTCCTAGTGTGGAGCAACTCAGCAGTGCTCATTCATGATCACACACGCGGACACTTGACGTCTAGATCACTGACTTGGTACCAAATGGTCTTAATATCTAACTTTAATTAATCCACAACATTGATCAACCATCTTCCATAATTCCAAACAAAACTATTCAGTTTACATAGATGAGTTGTTTGTAATTAATAGATAAAGAATATAACAGAATTATCGAATGATTTCGAGAAATTATATAAAACAAAATTAACCATGATAACCTGAAGATATATTGTTTGGTAACATACAAGTGAAATACCTAAACCAATTTACTATGGACTGTCTGAACTGTTAAACTAATATTAATCCCTAGATGAAGATAGACTAAAATCTACGCTGAAAAAAAGAATCATTTCATCAGTTGTGAAACCATAGTTTTTACTTAAAGTTAATTTACTCAACAATTATTTAGTTCCATTTACACATTTTTTTATAAAAAAAAGAAACAAAAATATTTTATAGTTAAGATCATGAGTCAATTGAAGCTAGACCACCATGGAAAACCTGGAAGCACTGGACGGCCGTTTCGTCCTATTATGGGACTCCTCAGCAGCGCGCATCCACGAACCCGCTCTCGCGAGATTCGAACCCAGGACCTACCAGTCTCGAGCCAGAGCCCTTAACCGATAGACCACTGAGCTGGCATCCAACGGTGTTAATGTCTAACCTCAACCAATCCACGAAATTGTGCAACCAACTTCCAATGTACTGAGGTAGATACCTGTCTCTACCTGGCCGTCCAGTGCTTTCAGGTTTTCCACGGTGGTCTAGCTTCAATTGACTCATGATCTTAACTATAAAATTACTAAATCTCCACAAAAAAAACCCTTGTGAAAAATATTTAAATAATTTTTCTAATTATACAGTTCAGTTATTTATAATAAAAAAATCAACCAAATTTAATGGACTACAAATCTTATCATATTCTAATTTATTCTTTGAATCCTTTCTGTTTAGAAAATAACACGCATAACAATTTGTCTAAACTTAAATTCTAATAAATTGATTCACTATTGAATATTTAATATAAATAGAACTATTAAACTCAGTTTTATTTATTAGTTAATTGTTTTTTTTTCGTTTTTTGTTTTAATTTTTGTTTTTCTTTTTTTCATTTTTAAAATAATTAACCAGATATTATGCTAATTTAGGTCAGTATACATTTCTAAAAAAAACTATTTGCCTTATTAGTAAACATTGAGATATATATTTAGTAATAAATTGTTTTACTGTTGATACATGTACTCCTTTTTTTACCGTTGTAGGATTCATTGATTTTGTCAAATCTATTTATCTGAATGAGAAATAATGTGTATTGTAAACTAAATTCACTTAGTATTGTTTGTTTGAATCTTCCCATTGATGTTAAGGACTGCAACTGGTCGGTCTTTAATTGGCATATGTGCATACTGTGCGTATTGACTCGATATTGCTTTGATTCACAAGTATTGTAAACAAAGATGGATAGCGGCTAGCAGTGGAATCCAAGACGCGCGTTTCGTCCTATTTGGGACTCGTCAGCTGGATGTACCTGCATCACAGAGTTGATGTTCACTCTGGGACTCAAACAAACAATACTAGGTGAATTCAAACTTCACCCCATTGCACAGGCAAGTGGCTATCAGAACTCAGTAGCTGAGTAGATAACACGATGGCGTTTGAAGCGGAAGGTACCAGAGTGACGATCAACTCTGAGATACAGGTACATGCAGCTGACGAGTCCCACATAGGACGAAGCGCGCGTTCTGGATTCCACTGCTAGCCACTACCCATCTTTGTATTGTAAACTGTTTATGTAGTAAAAGAGAAGTTTCGGAATAAAAAAAAGAAAAGAAAAGAGATTGTTTTATCCTCTTTTGAAGGAATTAGCCAAGAAAATATGATATATATTTGAAAGTAACCAACAACAAAGATACCTTATTTTAATAGTTGAGATCACGAGTCGATTGAAACTAGACCATCATGAAAAACCTGGAAGCACTGGATAGCCGTTTCGTTCAAAGGTAGGACTACTCAGTAGTGCGCATCCACGATACCGCCTCGCGAGATTTGAACGCAGCTCCTATCAGTCTCGCGTGCGAGCGCTCAACCACTAGACCACTGAGTTGGCCGGCATTCGACGGTGTTAATGTCTGACTTCAACAGATCCACGAAATCAAGCGACACATCCACCATTGCCTTCAGTGAGTTGATATCTCCCAACAGACCTGGTTGAACTCCACTGGTTACTGCTTCTCACTAGAACTCCAGGAAATACCTCATGGAAACAGTCACTAATGATCATATGTTGATTAATATTAGAAGGGGTTTTTGTGGATATTATAGTAATGTTAATAGTTAGATTAAAACTACTATAATATCCACAAAAACCCCTTCTGATACCTTATTTTATTTAAACTACAAACTTGTTAACACTTCTATATTAATAGAGTTGAGATCATGAGTCAATTGAAGCTAGACCACCATGGAAAACCTGGAAGCACTGGACGGCCGTTTCGTTCTATTATGGGACTCCTCAGCAGTGCGCATCCACGAACCCACTCTCGCGGGATTCGAACCCAGGACCTACCAGTTTCGAGCCGAAGCCCTTCTATATTAATTTAAAGTTCGCATAATAAGTTGAATTCGATTAGATAACACTGAAATCCATTAGGAATTGGATAGTTGTTTTATTATGATTGGGATTCCTTAGAACAATGTACATACAACTCCTCCATTTTTATTGAACCTATGAACCTTAGGCTTCATTACAGACGTTTAATTCTCAGATCAGTAAGTTAACATTCTAATCGTTAGCATTTTTAACATAAGTCAACTCACCGTATTATAAGATTCATGTAAGTTTCACTGATGATTGTGTTTTACCGATTTAAAGCAGGTTCACTTCGTACCGCATCATATTAAAGAAAATAATATGGTAAAATCCACCTTTTTTAACTGACAATAATATATAAAAGAGTAGTCTGCATTGTTACTATAAGTAGTATTAACAGTACGTATAAAGTATATATATAAACATTAAAGTTATACATATTTATGACAAAACATTGTTTAAAAAAATTGGAGTTCATTAAAATATGTGATCTGTTTTCAACAGAATTAGGAATTTCCAAAACTATTTATTGTCAGCAGACATTTTTATATTTAATTTTTCTAATTATTTATGCTTAATTATATCGGAGCGATAACAATTAAGAGACTTTCTAGAATTTGATAAGATTATGCAATTATAGGTTATGTTTTTGGCAAGACAATGATCATTGTTTTGACAGAATGAACCATGGTCAATCTAAATTTTCTTATGTTATCTATTCAACAATTTTCAGTGACTGCTATTTAAGGGTTAATAGTTTAATTTTAAAAAATGTACTGTATGTTATTACATAATATTAATTTGTGATGTAACTTAATTAAACAATCTGAAGTGTTAGTTAAGTTTTTCAGTTTCAATACAGAAATTATATCTGTAGTAGACATTACTGACTGATCTAAATTAGAAAAGCATTGTAAACCAGGTAACATTGGATACCTGTTTTGCTTTAGTATGTGACTTCTCATCAGTCAGCATCCAAGAACCTGTCAAGAACTGAATACAGGAACATGACATTTTAGACCATGGAGTCGGTATTGGAATGGTTCATGTGGTCGTAGTTCAGGATGAAATAAAAGTCTGAAGCTTTAAGATTTTCTGTGATGGTTTAGCTGAGAACAGTTCATGATACAAATTGAAAACTAAAAATTATCTACACAACTATTGTGTTCACAACATTCATAATCTAATCTATTTCATTTTTATCTTAAAGCTTATAGAGCCAATTAAAGGAAACGTTATCTGTAAATAATCTACGTTAACATTTCTATCTTTTAAATTTGATTTAATTTGTACATTTCCCATTATTGATTATTGAACAGTTTGCTTTTAAATCCTAATTTTGATTTCTTGACGTTAATACACTTTATTAATTAGTAATCATTCATAAAGTCAAATAATCTTTTTTACTGCTCAATCTAATTTGTACCGTTTCTCATTGACTAGGTTACAACTGAAGCTGTTGTACTATTTCCCGCTCATTGTTTTAAAGCTCTGAAACTTTTAAGTATATATTAGGAAGCATCATTTTGTAGTTATAATTTGTGAGCTGATATAAATTTAACAGTTATCGGGAGTAGAATTTAAAATGAATGTTTTTTTTCTATTGAGAACATGTCACCTCCATTTAGATTTCTCCTTTGAGTTACTTAGATTTAAAACACATATGACATTTTTTTGAAGAACTAGATAAAAACTCAAATGTAGAGGACGTATGAAATGAGACACCGAATGAAATACAATTTAGCATTCTAACTAACTATATATATACATATGCAAACTACACAGAAATAAAGATCAATATTTTCAAATTAATATTGGAAACTGCATCACAAAGCAGGTCCTAACTTGTTATCGTCGAGGCAAAATGGAAAGAATCACATTAAGAGTGACATTGCTCTGGAAGGCGGAGGCACACATCCAAAGAATCAATAGCACTTGGGAACAACTGAAAAGAAAGGCTCAGGAGGGAGTAGATTGGGGAATCCTGGTAGGTGGCCTATGCTCCACGAAGAGTAAGTAAGCAAGCAAGTGAACCTCACTATTTCCTTAGTAGGATATAAGGACTTAACTAGGGAATAACTGATATCATATTAATTAATTTCTAACCTCAATAGAAGTATATCGATTAAGTCCATGATGGAATCAATGTATTAAGTGACTCAGTGACATTATGTGTTTTGTTAAAAGTTAGATGAACAAATGAATATTATAGTAAACATATGGAATTATATATCAAGCCTAAATAGATAAATAATAATTCCTTTAACTTCAATACTCGGTTTAAATCCATAATGCTACATGATCCCACTTAAGAGTGGAGAAAATAATCGTATAAAGCCGGCGATATATGTTTTTAGCTATTTATCTTACCTCTAATCTTGAAGCAACTGATGCTTTACATAGGATTTTGAGCCAGTGTTGTCATCAATTAATCAGTTGAACAACGACTAACTCCATTCAGTTATTCCAAATGGATATAATTCAATTTTTGACAGTTTAATACTTTTTAAAATCAATAAATAAACAAAATACTTACTTTTCATTAATCTCCTTTTACATTCTTCCTCATAAACAGAATCATTATTTGTAATCGGTGCCATAAAAGTTGAATCAGGCTGTAAATCTATTTGATTGGAATCAATAAAATTTAAATTATCAGTATGATTATTATTGTCTAATAATCTTGACTCATTTGAATGATATTTTATTGAATGCTCAAATTGTACTTGTTCTAGGTAAGATGGTATTGTTGTATCCACCTTTTTTTTACATTCATATAAATCATCTATGGATTTTCTTGACCAATTTATATTTGATGCTTCAGATAAGTAGTTGTAATATTCAGATTTGATTGAACACTTATTAATGTCTTCCATATTATTTATTTCATAATGTTGATATATATTAGTATTCTGTTTATGACATATGTTAAACGGTTGAATATTGAATTCATTCATTAAGATTTGATTATTAGTTATAGTTTGTTGAACGTCGAGATTTGCTTATTTAGTGATATTTATTAAATGAATTGAAGTATTTATTGAATTGTGTGGGTCGCAGTAAAAGATGACTTCAATGAATGAATATTATACGTATATATATATATCAAGAAATGAAATAAATAAATACTTCCCTTTATGTTATTGTAACGGATAACGATTTGATTGGTTGGCAAATTATCAATGGAATTTGTTTTAACCAATCGAATAATTCCTAATGAGTATATTTTTTTGTGAACAAATTTCTGTCATTATCTTTATGTTGGTATTAATGTGGAAGTTCAGCTAAAAGGTTACTCAGCAATAATGAAAAACTTTTCAAAACTAACAAATTTGTAATTTAGTGGTTGAATTCATCTGTCTATTTAAACAAAACCACCACGGAAAATCTAGAAACACTGGATAGCCGTCACATTCTGGTGTGGGACTCCTCAGCAGTGCGCAATCTTTTTGAATATTTGGATAACTTTCTTCAGTATATTTAGCTGCATCTTTTTGATGATATGATGGAAAGAATGGAAGACTTATCGATTATTTTGTAACCTTTATTTTGATCTTAGACTTATCTATTTTTTGTAGAGTTCAAATGTTTCAGCAAGATATTTTAATTATTAAACACGTTTTATTATCTGGCCCACTTGTTCTGAAATTTTACATTATCTATTCGGTTAGTATTTATTGATCATATCTGTGAACGAAGTTATTAACTCTGCCAACTCGGTCATTTGGGTAATTCTATCGATCGGTTGTGTTGTCCTAACACAAGTGAAAAGATATTATGTAAACTTTATTGATTAATAACCTATAAGAATAAGTTTAGTTATTATTTATAAATATGGTTCTTTGAAAAAATTCACTAACCGTGTTAAGTTAGACTTTAGTAACACTTAATTAAAACCCAGAAAATTCATAAAATAGTGAGGTGTAGGTTATAAAGGTAATGCGGTTAGGGAATCAGTTATTTTCAACCGCAGCATAGCATTCATCGAATGCCATGAAGACTGCGATTTCGACGCATAATCATAATAGCTTTCGATCTCATGTGTTTGTGAAAACATCACCTGTGCAAAGTCTCTTGTACTCTATAGTCACCAATTCACTTTCCGGGTGATTACTGATGGATGATGGTGTGTCGGAACGAAGACTGATTAAATGATAACTCCTAGAACTAATTTGTGGATCATTATTATGCATATATTATTTTTCTATAACTATTACCAAACAACTCGATTATTATTTCGAAAGATTCCGTTTATCATAAGCTTCTGTTCAACCTATTAAGTATTGTTGTACTACTTATTATCCCTAATATATTTCCCATTGCTTTTTCTTCACAGCTTGCCTTTTTACCACCATTCTTGACTCATTTATGTATAATTGAGACTTTTCATTTGATGGTACAATGTAGTCCAGTATGTTTATATATAAGCCCACATGTGTTTGAAATGTAATAATAATAATAATAATAATAATAATAGAAGTTGGTGGTTAACTTTTAGGACTCACGGCAAGGTATGGAGAAAAGCTTGTAAATAGCGGAACAATAGGGGCATATCTGCATCAGTTCAAAGTGAATAGTGTCGGTCAGGCAGATAAGTGGTCAATTTTGGAATAATAGGTCACAGGAGGAATAGTAGACGTAGAATAGGCAAAGTAATAACTCTGATTAGTGACTTTAGCATTTGATATTGGCTAGAGTTTGAATACACAACAAACTAAATCTACGAATCTCATGGGTAAATTCAATTCCAATAGAATGTAAAACTGCAAGACATTTGAAGAGCCTAGAATTTGAGGATATTTAGGAGTATTTTAAATGTTGATGATAATGAGAAAAGAGTTTTGGCATAAATATAGATTGTTCCTTAAGAAATGAGACTGATGTAGATGGTTTCTATTTTTATTTTAAGCCTAGAATAATAGTCCTCGATAAGATATTAGATATAAAAAAGAAGAGATGACAACTGAAGAAATGAATTTTTTCGAATTTATCGAATAGAATATGATGAGTTGAACATTAATTTCAGAGATAAACATAATCGGTTAAAGACTAAGAGGTTTATTTATGTGAATTATGGAAATAATCACAAAAACACTGATCAGAGGACAGTAACTAAACTTGCGACGAATTTTTCTGGGCACTAATATCACATAGATTGTATAGTTCATCGTTCAATATCCATGAAAGATAATAGAGATTTTTTCTCAATGAGTAACTCTTTATAGACAAGAAGATTTCAGATTAGCAACTAATAAATAAAAACTTTTTCTGTACATATGAAATAAGCTATCTTGAAAAATTATGATCAAAAGCTTGGAATAGTGGAGTTCAGATATGTCGGATGTGAAACAATTATCTACCACAGGGGTGCACAATATAGTCAATGTATTTAAGATATACGTTAACACAATTTGATGCTTGCTTGGCAATTGAGAGGTTAGGCGTTTGCGCGCGAGACTGAAGGTGGTGGATCCGATGCCTGGCTGTACGACCGTTGGTGCTCACTGCTGAGAAGTCCCACACTAGAAAAAACAATTTACAATTTATTTTAATTTGCCTACAATGGTTGATGCGAAGTTTAAAAACTATGAAAGTCCCATAATCCCTAGAAATCCCTCTAAATTAATCAACGAAGTAATTAATTATGAGCACGCATAATTGGTATACACCAATCATGTTGTTAAACTGAAGGGTATTTCCTTCATTTTTTATGTTTATTTACTTAGTCGGCTAAATATTGTCCAGGAACTTGAAGAAGTCGTAGTTAAAACTATGACAGATAAACTATAAGTGTGTATGTAAACATAAAATACATGTGGACTTTTTACTTCTATGTAATGTAATGATTTTGTTCACCAATTATGCTTCATGTATGTGTATTGTATTATAGTCTTGTATAGCCATTTTTACCATTCTCTTTATGTTACCTCATAAAGTACACTTCTTGCTTTTATTCTCCTTAGTCATATATATTCGGTTAGTTTTTTGATGACATGTTATTTTATTTCGTTTACTTATTCCGTTACATGTTGAGGTAATTTTATGTTTGGTCATCAACAGATTATTATTATTATTATTATTATTATTATTATTATTATTATTATTATTATTATTATTATTATTATTATTATTATTATTATTATTATTATTATTATTATTATTATTATTAGTTCCAAAGTTAAGGGTTATTTTTAATTTGATTATAAAACTTCATTTTTAAAAGATTTAGTTCTAAACTACTTATAAGTAGTTACATCAAATTCGTTAAAATCTGTTGGAGATTAGTGGAGGTTGTCTTTTTTATGGTAAATTTTCATTACGAAGTAATTTCGCCTGAAGAACTGCTGGAAACGAGATAGCACTGAAAAGATGTTTAGTCTTGATTTATGATTCTTCATTGGTGCACACTCACGACCAGTAGTTGAAGCCGTGCTATCGACCTCTGAATTCCGATCCACTCATGCCATTGTTAGTTCATGAAGGGACTATGGTTTGGTCCATCCAGCTCAGAGAACAAAACTCTATCAAAATAACGTGAATTAACTTATTTGACGGATTCTCTTCAACAGCTTAAAACTAACGACAATTTTGTTTTTTCGTTAAGCAATATACTGTGTACGTTCTGTACGGGTAAATGTCTTGATTAAAATTGTTTTTGACAAACTAATGTAGATCAAAAATTGTGACGGGATTATAGAGTTAATAGTCTGTTCATGTGTTATAAACATAAATATTCAGGAATAAAAAATTTAGAAAAGTATAAAAACAATGATTTTAGAAGTGAAATGATAGATCAATGTCATAGTTTGTACAATACATAAGTATAAAATAAAGTCGACTAGATAAGTACAGATTACATAAGAAGTAGGAAACTATTACTAATGTCATTCCCAAATATTACGTAACAGATACTTGCAATCCAGGCCACTCATTATAAAACAGGATTAATAACTGGATATTTTTGGTAACATAAATTTAGGTTAAATCTTCTTACGGTAACTGATTTTGCAAAACTTTATAAATTCGATGTTATTTTTGTTCATTGATCATGCTGAAAGATTTTGAAATGTCATCATTATGTCCACTGTCAATTAATTGACAGGAAACTTCATTGCTCAAAACATGTTATTTTTTTAGTTTCAACTTATGTGGAATATACTCAGAGATGCGAACTCCAACCCTCTTTTCTGTCTTTGCAACTTATTTGATTTTTCCCTTATATATATAACCTGGTAGACATAATTAGAGGTAACATAAAGTGGGAGTTTTTTTAGATTTAAACGTTTAGATGAAGGATATTTTTGATAAGGAGAGGTCAACCTGGCTGCTAGATCTTTTTTTACGTATACTGAGATAATACGATGGTACAAAAATGAAATAATTTTTGAAAAATAGTGGGGAATCACAGTTATGTTATAACCCAGTCTGAAATGATTTATTCTGATGGTTATGGTAGAGATAGGAGCTGTCTAAACTTAATAATACAAAGTTTCTTTATATCGATCCCAGCAGTATGCAAAAGATGAACCTATAAACCATGCAGTTAATGTAATTGGATACGGTGGGTCATTTAAATTTTTTTTATCTAAATTCCATTGATTTCTTATATCGATCAAATGAATGATAAAAGAAACTTTTGAATAGATTTAACTGTCCTTTGTTCGGCCAGGCAGGACACTGTTCATCAGAAGGATGCTCACCGTTACGATGATGCATTTGGAGTTTTATACACACTGTCCAACTGGTTTCATTGTAGCAGTTAGGTTGATAAATACACGCATAAATGTACTGAATTCAGATGATCTTAACATACCTTTTTGAGTGAGTATCCATCAAGTTTGTAAATTATTGTTAATATATGAGAGATCATTCGTAATTTCTTTAGTATGTAGCAGGTGCCACATATTGATACGCTTGATTACTTATTTGTCTTTTCTAGAAGTAAGTTACGTAATAT